TACAAGCTGATATTTGTACACATTTAAAACAAAAATACTTGCATATATACCCATTTTACCCATTGAGAATTGAATATTTGTGAAAGGTGACAGTTATTCTGAATCACCCTGTACAGGGTGTCCACTCATTTGGCTAAATAAAGTTCCTTGTCCTGGTTTTTCCATAACTTTGGTGGATAATTTCCAGGTTTAAGAATAAGCATGCTATTTTTAAACTGTGTTAAAGATATGTTTTTAAAGCAAACGTTCTTAAGACATGACAATCCGTTTTTAAGAAACATCTTAGACTTACTAAAATGAAGTATTTAAACACTTCAACATTTAGAGGATTTGATAGTAAAGCATCAAATCCTCTAAATGTTGAAGTGTTTAAATACTTCATTTTAGTAAGTCTAAGATCACAACATTTTTAATGTCTTGACGTTTCGTACTAACTAAAATGTGGGAACTTTGATTAAGTTCTATTGATCTCAGAAAAGCTAAATCTAGAGATCTTCGAGGAATTCCGAGATCTTAAGGGGAAATCCCCGAAACTTTAGCCCAGACTATTGAATTATTTTAAAAATCTTTAAGTGTAAGTTTAGACAAATCCATGATGTGCTGAATTAAAATCGAGAACCCATAAGATGTTCCGAAAGATTCAGTACAGAGACCTTCAGAAAATTTATGAAAACTTCATAAATATTTCAGGAACTTCACAGAAATCTAGAGAATTCCAGGGATGTTTAAAGGTGTTTACGAGAATTCCATTTATTTTAAAGCAGAACCGAGATCTTCATTAGAGTTGAGAGTTTTAGGGAAGTTCCAAGAACATCAAGACTGATCAGAGAATTAAAGGGCAGTTCTAAAAATTTCAAGGAATTTACAGAAACCGGAATTTCCGGAAACTTCGGATTGCCCAGAGAAATTTTTTGAAACGCAATTAAAATTATAGGAACATCCGGAAAATGTGAGTGTATTTCAAGGGTGTTATATAATGGAAGTTTCAAGATAAAAATAAAAAAAAAATAGAAAATTTAACTAAGTTGATTAGAGAACATCAATGATTCTATGATTGATCCGAAAACTTAAGTTTAAGGGAATTTTAAATATATATAAGAAAATCTACCGGAACATTTGATCAATTTAGAGAAATTATGGTAAGCATAGAAAACTTCTGGGCTTTCCACGGAAAATTAGTGATTTAAGGCAAAGTTCCGTGAGCATTTATAAACTTTATAAAACTTAAGGAAAATTGTAGAAATTAAAGGAAATAAAATCAAGTAAAATGGCGGGTTCTTTTAAAAAATACTAAGATATTCAGGGCAGTCTACAGAATTTTAAGGAAATTGAAAAATATTTTGGGCAGTTATAAAAACATCAGGAAACTCTAGACTATTGAAGAAGTTATGAATTAGTTTCGATAATTTGAACGTCGGACAAATCTTGAGAACTTCAGTGAAAATCATAGAACTATATTGATTATTTAGCTGCGGAAGCTTGGAGAAGTTCCTGAAATTTCAGAATATATTCGAAAACTTCACAGAAATACAGAGATCTTCAGAAACATTTCGAGAACTTCATAAAAGTATATGGAACTTAAGGAAAGGTCCGAAAATTTCAGGAACTTTCATGGACATTTCGGGAGCATCTCAAATAAGTTTAGTAAAGCTTCAAAGACAAAGGGAACTTCAGGGGAGTTCAGTTCCATTAGCGGGAAATTTCAAGAAGTTCCCAGATTTTCACATAAGTCCAGAAGTCCGCAAGCTTAAACATTTTTAGAACAGTTCAATTAAATTCAAGGTAGCACAACAAGCTTCATGAGAACTGCACAACTTAAGAGAAGTTTTGAGAAAGTTTTGATCTCGCTAATAAAGCTCTAATCAACAACAAAAACTTCAAGAAAGAACAGATATCCTCAGTGCAGAGATATTCCAGAGCAGGGAAATTACATGAATTTTAAAGAAGTTTCGAGAAATTCAGTGAATTTTTAACACTTTAGAGAAAAAATTGTGGAAACTTTAGGAAAAATTGTGGAAAGTTTAGAGAAGTTAAAAAAAGATGAGAAGTATTGCGCGCATCAGGCTAGATTTTCAAGCTACAAATGAACTTCAGGGCAGTTTAATTAACTTCAGGAACATTTTGGGAACTTTCACGTAGTTCTGAAGACCTCAGAATAGTCCATTTCATATTCAACGGAGATTTCTCATGAAAATTCGCTTGGAGTTTACTATCTTAGGCTTAAAGGGTGTCCACGATGAAATTGCCACACTATGAAATTGCTCTAACTTTTTAACCGTTGGGTAGAATTTAATGAAAATTTGGGTGGATTTAGTTCATAGTGCATTATTTACATCCTGTGATCAAAACTCGCGGAAATGGAGTCGAAAGAACAGCTCGTGCGTGATAAAATCTTGCGCATTCATCACGAGAACAAGGATCTCTCGCATCGTTCCATCCCTAAAACGTTGGGAATCGCGAATTCCACGGTGTCGCGAGTGATTAAGCGGTTCGAGGAACGATTGACCACCGATCGGAAGCCCAGAAGTGAAGGAAAAAGTATTCCGTACAACACCAAAAATCACAACCGCGTAGTTGGGGCCTTCAACCGAAATCCGAACGCCTCCGTTAGGGATGTGGCTAAGAAGCTGCACCTAAGCCGAAGTTTTGTCCAGAAGGCCAAAACTAAGGCTGGGCTTCGAACGTTCAAGGTACAAAAGGCCCCTAATCGCGACGAGAAGCAGAACAAGTCCGCCAAAACCCGTGCCAGGAAGTTGTACCTCAACATGCTGACGAAAGTTGAATGCTGCATCATGGACGACGAAACATATGTGAAGGCCGACTTCAAACAGATCCCCGGCAACCTGTTTTTTACGGCCAAGGATAAGTTCAGCGTTCCGGAGCATGTCCGCACTCAGAAGATGTCCAAATTTGCGAAGAAATTCCTGGTTTGGCAAGCCATCTGCACGTGCGGGAAGCGGAGTGCACCTTTCGTGACCCAGGACACGATGAACGGACAGGTGTTCATAAAAGAGAGGTGTTCATAAGCGGCTGCTTCCTCTTCTGAAGGCCCACAACGTCCCAACAATCTTCTGGCCGGATTTGGCCTCATGCCACTACTCCAAGGACGTGCTGAAGTGGTATGCGGACAATAAGGTCAATTTCGTGCCGAAAATGTTCAACCCTCCCAACACTCCGGAGCTCCGCCCCATCGAGAAGTACTGGGCGATTATGAAGCAGCACCTTCTTAAACGACCTAAGGTAGTGAAGACAGTCGAGGAACTGAAGAAAGTATGGGTTTACATGCAAAAAACGGTTGATTCACAGGTTGTCCAGAATCTTATGGCCGGGGTTAAGGCCAAGGTGCGGGCATTTGCGTATGGACTGTAAATAAAATACGAGTAAAATGGTAAAATGAAGTTTAATAGTTATTTCTCAATCCCTGAAAATTTGATGGCAATCGGATTAAAACTCGAATTTTGCGAATCAATTTTATGTGTGGCAATTTCATCGTGGACACCCTTTAGGCTTCACATGAAGTCTAAAATTCCTCAGAACTACCATGAAAGTAGATTGCAGTTGATGTTTTTCTCCTAGATTTTTTTCCCAGAACTCCAGGTGAATGAGGTCATTAGAAATTATAATAAAAACTTTGCAAGAAATATGACTCCAGATTCTTGAAAATTTCTTGAGTCCTATAACATTTCAGTTAACAATTTATAAAAATTGTGTGAATTATGCATATTCTAGAACCAAAAAAAAACATTTGAAGCCTCTTAATTATTAAAATGTATTTGTTACTGAAGATTAATCCATTCTTGATCTATAAAGTTCAATGTGTGAAAGAAAATAACTTGGAATATTAAATGTATTTATGTTAAAATGCATTCATAGTAATAAAATTATTAAATTTCCTGAATAATGATAAGACTCCCTGAGACTTCCAGGTATTTTCAGGAGAAATAAAATTTCCTGAGAATTCCTGGTTTTTCAGGTTTTTTCCAGGTAGTAGAAGCTTGGAGCCTTAGTCATAAACTTTCTATTGAATCTTTCGCTTTAAAGGTTTCTATCGTACATATTACAGTGTTTATGAGAATCCAAATTAATAACATTTATTTTGTATGCGATCAGAATGACAAATTTTCTACGCTTAGGTCACAATTTAGTCACTTTTTTACAACTATAAGTCACTATTTGGTCACTTATTTCTTCAACATGGTCACTAAAATCTCTAAATCACTGCAATAGATATTCTGAAAATAAGTCAATGAAAATTCCAAGGATAATCCCAACCTAGAAGTATATGAAGATGTTTTGAGGAAAGTTTTAAGGAAATTTCCAACGATGTTTTGAGGTAAATTTCAAAGGAATACAATCAAATAAGAGTTCCTTGGGATATAGAGAAAATCTTGAAGATTATTTCATGGGAATTTCAAAATAATACTTAATGAATACCGAGGAGAGATATTTTCGAAAGAAACTTTTAAGAAAATCCTAGGTAAAACAGCGGTAAACTGTGAAGAATTGTTAAGTGTTATGCAAAGTTTTCGTTAATAGATTCGTCATTCGACGTGGAACTTTTCAGATCGAAATCGAATTAAAAAAAATATCACTTCATCAAGTATTGTAATTTTGACAAATCATTGAACTTTAATCATACATTCTAAGCCGTTTCCTGTGGCAGAATGTTTTCAAACAAACTTTCACCATTTATTGCACCGCCTTGCGTCAACTTTCCTGGTGCAGGTTTTGCTTGTCGTCAATATTGCATCATTTAGCGTTTGAACAGGCTGAACTCTTGATTGCTTATTGTGTTATTAAATTGCTGTTGGAAAAAGCGCCAATGCACAATTCCTAACGATGATTGACTGTTTGCATGTTTGATGAACCCGTTACACGTGGGTCCACCTCTTCGGAATTAAATGTAAACGTTTGCAATCCATACATGAGAAACAAGGTCAAATGTGCATCTTTTGAAAAAGGCCTCCGGATCCTAATTCATCCGTTTTTCTCCTCGATGGCACGCCGTTAGACATGCATCAATTTTACTATCACCTGATTGCGAGAGAAAGGAAAAACTGGTTCACTTTCTTCGAGACTGCCATATCTAATCACCATCACACCCCATCCGTGCATGTCTGTATGTGTGCGTTTGATGGATAGCTTCTTCATTTCAGTTTTCTTCCAATCTCGGCAGTGAATGCATTTTTTGTTGCATATAGGGTTAATGTCCCTGATGTTGGGCCCATACATACATTTCGAAGGAAAGCATTTTTCGATTTCCATTTGTATTGCCCAGATGACGCACTGCTCTAAGAAAAAATCAAGAATGGGAACTTGTTAACGATGGGCCCTATCTTCAGATCCATCGGCCAATATTAGAGCCACTTCCCCTACCTACATTTGCGGTTTTTCTCGTTGTAGGGTCGCATGCATGCTACTCATAGCTTGCTGCATGCGGTGCGATATTATGATAAAGCAAGCACGCGGCTGGAATCCCATTTCGCCGCAGCCATCTTCGATGCATGGGGTGTGAAGACCACCAGCTGCCCAAAATAGGCGCGATGGTGGAATGGAAGAAAAGTGGAACCATATTTCACTGCACTCACTCGTGTACGTGCAATTACTCGCGCATTGATTAATCACCATGTCTGCTACCTTTACCATCCCCGGAGTTCTCCAAGATGGAGACGAGGCAGCAGAAATGTGTGAATATGTACACTTTTGGAAGCCCTATGGCTTCACAATGACGTTTGGTTTTTGTTTACCTACAGCAGTAGTAGGCTATGTGGCTTTTTGCTACTATTTCTCGTTATTTTTCTATGGTCGTTCGGCGGCGGTAACGTGGACGGGAATGTGCAATATAATATGACAGCAGACGGACGGAGCGCAGTCACTTTCGGCTGCTTCGGACGTTATTATTTTTTGTTTTCGAAGTCACCTTGACGTTTTCCATCGTTGACGTTTGAACTTCTTCGTCTTGTTTCGGTCATTTCGAACACGGGGTCCGCGCGGTGCAATACCGGCTTCGACGAAGTCGGTTGCTTCAGCAGAAGCTAGGAGGTTGTTTTTGCACCACTACAACGGACATTTTACATGGACTGTCGTTCACAAAACAACGCTTGGTTCCTGCAAACGAGACTCAAGGACGGATTCACTTCGGTGTAACTATGATTTTTTCTGCTGCTGCTGCTGCTCATCTTCGCCACCATTACCTATTAGTCTATTACACAGTAATATACATTGATTGTGCCTGACCAAGTGCATCCATCTTATATGGGCTTACAGAAATCGATTGTTCGTCAACGCGGGCACGGAGAAGTAGCAGCAATTGTAATTATAATCGCCATGTACTCGCCTTCTATAAACCGATAGTTTCCCCACCTATTACGGAGCTATTATTGGTCCGTTTTTCCATTATAAGTGTTATTATTTTGTGCAGTTTTTGTTCCTATCATTTGCCCCCTGCCTGTCTGCCATCATAAAATTGATCGGCAGCTAAGAAGCCGCGTTGCGATACCATTTGTGACTTTACAATTCCTAGCGGCAACACATAGTAGGCCGTGAACACGGGTGTTGTTGTTAAGGTCGCCGCTTAAAATGTTTGCTTGGAATAACAGAACATTTTCCACTGTATCGCAGCAGGTTGCCTGTTGGTTCTATATCTGCAAGGTTGTAAGCATTCTTTACGGCAGAGGGTAAGGTTATGTTTTAAAGCAACCGATTGAAGGCTTTTCCGCTGATTCATTGTTCGATGGGGATTTTATCCAAGCCGGCAGCCGACCGTTCGACGCCGGGGGAAATTGAATTTTAATTGGTTCTTAGATACTTTCAAATGACCTCTTGTTACCTTTGTTGCGCGCGCGGAATTTCGATTATACTTGACTTAACTAATGTTGTTTGTTTTTTTTTTCTACTTTCAGGTAACTATCAGATTGGGCATGCTAAAATTTTTGGGCCTGTGTTTGTGAGTAAAAGAAATAAAAGAACTTCATTTTGCTGTTCAATGCTTTATTTTGCAAAACTGTTATGTGACATGCAAAGGCTTTTCACTAAACTATCAAAAACGCGTGCGAGTAATTGTGTATTGTGCAGTCTATTTTGATCTGGATTTTCTAAGTTCGCCGTGTTTTCTATCCTAGATCCAGGAATTAATTCTTCTTTTAACTTCTTTCCTGGTGAATTTGGGCGTCTACAGATCTTCTATGCTTCCTGAATGACAGAATCTCAACTGTTAAAATCTATTCCTAGTACGATAAGCATTGGATGTCGCGTGAAAAATCTAACAGAAACTCGTGCCCTGGAATAAAAAACTGACAATGCGATACTAACAATTTGTTTTGTCGATATGCCACTTTCTAAAATCTGTTCTTCAGTATCAGGTAGTACGAGTACGACGCCTGCATCACTATTCCCAATCGTTGGATGTTAACGAAGTAGAACTTGGCTGCCGTAATCCCAGTAGGCTTTTGCGCCCGTTGCATCATGAACCGTAGGTCTCGCTGCATAGCAGCCGGCTCCAGGTGCCACGGGTATTTGTAGATGGCGTGGCTTACTGCGAGTGCCTGTAATTTGAAATTGTTAATTGGATTGGAATTGCTTGGCGTTTTATTATTAAGAGTGTTCCTACGCTCTCACTCAGCCGAGTTCCGTTGAAACAAAAGACCACCATTTCGCCCATCAAAACAATGAAGAGAACAACCACGCTGCTGGCGTTTGGACCGAAGTTCTATAAAGTTTAAATTTTCAATGTTGATACACAACGAGCATCATTAGCGATACTTACAGTCGAAAGGTAGAACATCATCAAGCACCAAATAGCCATGCAGTTCAGGATCTGGTTGAGCAATATGAAGCTGAGCGTTTCTTCCAATAGTTCCGTGTACTTCAGCGCCATCTTGTGCAACTCAATGATCATTCGAAGTTCGTCCCTTCGTTCTTCGCCTGCTTTGGCATCACCCAGATTGTTGATTCTCATCTGGATTAAATCGAACAGCTTCGCACCGTATTGGAGTGGTGTTAAAAACACGGCTGCTTTCAAACAACTTTGATATGCCGAACACATGATAGCCGGACCGGCGAAGGTAAAATAGATCAGGTAATGGACGATGTTTCGGCGGATGTCCAAGTAGTAGTACTGCACCTCGAAAATCAGAATGTAGTCAGTTCTCTTGTAGTCAGGTACGAAAATACATTTGCAGAGCGTCCAGACGATCGGAATTCCCAGAAACAGTGCCAACAGGAAACCCACGTAAGCATTGTAGCCTCTCGCGAAAGAATCCATCCGCCGATTGAACTGCCGTATCTCTTGAATGTAGTCCTTTGATTCGTATCGATCGAGCGTTTCCTTCAGCACTTGAACCAGTTGCCCATACGACCTTCGACGAGTCACGAAAATGCCAGACGCAATGCAAACGTCACTAAAGAAGATAAATTCAGCGAGATTCCTGGCCACAGAGTCGAATCCGTCTTTCCCGGAACCGAGAACTGCTTTTGGGATCATTATGTTCAGCAGCATCCAACCGACAAGGGCGAAATAGCGATAGATTCGACGATTGTCTCTGGCTTCGTTGTCCCATACGCCGATAAGATTGAGCATTTTGAGCCCCACTTGAAGGACTTTCCGTTCCGCGGAAAAGGTCTTCTTGAAGAACATCTTCACAGTGTTTGAGTGGTGATGGTTGCGAGGTGCTTTTAAACTCGATGAGGTTCGGTCCTAGCTTGTGTCGTGTTTTCGTTGATAATTATGAGGTAAGCACGCGCGGCCTTGAATAATTGTCGAGTTCGGTTGTTTGTCCTGTCACGAGTTAATTGTACGATTTGCCTCGTGGGAATGAAAGCAGCTTTCCCGTGATGATAATTGCACATCTTGCAGCCATTAGAAAAGATCGAATTGCTATGATTGCTATGTGCAGTAAACGGTGCAATATTTTACTTGGTAAACCAGATGCACCATACTTGTGAAATAACATAGCAATTAAAACCGGTTTTAAGCATCAGCATTAAATTCGCTTGACAAATCCAATAGAAACGCGTTCTCGTACAAACGACAATAGACCAATCCGGTGCGGTTTCTAGAATCTATTCTTCAGTATAAGATAATACGAGTACGAGGCCTGCATCACTAATCCTAAGCGTTCGATGTTAACAAAGTAGAAATTGGCCGCCGTTATCCCAGTAGGCCTTTGTGCCCGTTGCATCATGAACCGTAGATCACGCTGCATAGCAACCGGCTCCAGGTGCCACGGGTGTTTGAAGATGGCGTGGCTTACTGCGAGTGCCTGTAATTTGAATTTTTATTTAAACTGATTGGCGATTGATTATTAAGAGTGTTCCTACGCTCTCACTCAGCCGAGTTCCGTTGAAACAAAAGACCACCATTTCGCCCATCAAAACTATGAAGAGAACAACCACGCTGCTGGCGTTTGGACCGAAGTTCTATAAAGTTTAAATTTTCAATGTTGATGCACAATGAGCTATATTAGCTATACTTACAGTGGAAAGGTAGAACATCATCAAGCACCAAATAGCCATGCAGTTCAGGATCTGGTTGAGCAATATGAAGGTGAGCGTTTCTTCCAATAGTTTCGTGTACTTCAACGCCATCTTGTGCAACTCAATGATCATTCGAAGTTCGTCCGTCCGTTCTTCGCCTGCTTTGACATCCCTCAGATTGTTGATCCTCATCTGGATTAAATCGAACAGCTTCGCTCCGTATTGGAGTGGTGTTAAAAACACGGCTGCTTTCAAACCACTTTGATATGCCGAACACATGATAGCCGGACCGGCGCAGGCAAAATAGATCAGGTAATGGACGATATTTCGGCGGATGTCCAAGTAGTAGTACTGCACCTCGATAATCAGAATGTAGTCAGTTCTCTTGTAGTCCGATACAAAAATCCATTTGCAGAGTGTGGAGATGATCGGAATTCCCAGAAACAGTGCCAACATCAAGCCCACGTATGCATTGTAGCCTCTCGCGAAGGAATCCATCCGCCGGTTGAATTTCCGTATCTCTTGAACGTACTCTTTTGATTCGTATCGATCGAACGTTTCCTTCAGCACTTGCACCAGTTGCCCATACGATCTTCGACGAGTCACGAAAATGCCAGACGCAATACAAACGTCACTAAAGAAGATAAATTCAGCGAGATTTCTGGCCACGGAGTCGAATCCGTCCTTCCCGGAACCGAGCACTGCTTTTGGGATCATTATGTTCAGCAGCATCCAACCAACAAGGGCGAAATAGCGATAGATTCGACGATTGTCTCTGGCTTCGTTGTCCCATACGCCGATAAGATTGAGCATTTTGTGACTCACCTGAAGGACTTTCCGTTCCGCGGAAAAGGTCTTATTGAAGAACATCTTCACAGTGTTTGAGTGGCGATGGTTGTGAGGTGCTTTTAAACTGGATAAGGTTCGGTTCACGTTTTCGTTGTGTTTTGGTTTATAATTATGAGCCACTGAAAATCTCTGAAATACAGTTATAATAATAATAATAGTGATAATTAGGAAGTAAGGACACGCGTTCTTAACCAATTTTTTTATCGGTTGTTTGTCCTATCACGAGTTAATTGTTCGATTTGCCTCGTGGGAAGGAAAGCAGCTTTCCTATTTCGATAATTACATATCTTGTAGTCGTTAGAAGATTTGTAGAATCCTATGATTGCTATGTACTGCTAAACGGTGTAGTATTTTATTTAATTACTATCGATGTTTTATAGTGTTCTCTCAATGTGCATCACGTTACTAGCAACCAAAATCCTAGAATCTATCTTTCATAATTAGGTAGTACGAGTAGATTGTTTGTAATACAATTCCTAATCGCTAGATGCTGACATAGTAGAACTTGGCCGCCGTTACCACAGTAGGCCTTTGAGCACGCTGCAGTATGAGCAGCTGGTCTTTCTGCATAGCAACCGATACCAGGTATCACTGATAGAGATAAATTGCGTAGCTTAATGCCAATGTCTGAGAATAGGATCATGCTATTTTCAGTTTATCAAACAAATCCTGCAGGATATTCTTACTCTTTCATGTGGGTTCCTTTAATGCTGTTAACCATAACTTCGCTCAACAATTCGACAAAAAACACACATTGATGGCATATTGATCAAAGTTGTAGAACGTTATGAACGTTATCTTAAAATTAGTAACATTTACACTTTCACTTCCTGTACTTACATTCGAAAGGTTCACAATATGCTTAGTTGGATGTTCATTCCTCATCTTTGAGGAGTCCAGTTTCAACTGCAAAATTCAATAATCACGATAAACAGGTAGCCGGGAAAACTGGGAAATGCCAGAAATTCGATGTCACCGGAAAAAATGGATTAAATCCGTGAACTTCGATACCAAATTGAAAGAAAATGTACTTCTTCCTCTCTTTAAGAAATGTCGAGATCCTTGCACTGGACTAAATGTTCATTATATTTGATTATTTGTTTATTTGTTATGTTTGCATCAAAAGACTAGAAATCAAGCGTAATTCAACGTATCTGATTTTGTAAACAATCACTTCAATCGGCGATTTGTGGCGACTGATAGCTCACTCACAGAAATTAACAACATCAGCTAGTAAGGGAAAGATTCCCCTACCTTATGCTGGTGTTTGCTTGCGTGGGTGAGTTAGCAGTTAAGACAAACCGTCGATTGAAGTGATTGTTTACAAAAGCAGATACGTCGATTTGAATAGTTACGCTTGAAATAGTCCCAATGATGTGTTGTAAAAAAAAGTACAGATTTTATAGACTACATATACTACAGTTACAAACGAAAATAATTAGGAAAGCATTGTCAAGTTACTTAAAATGTACAACTCCTAAATTTTACATTTAGCTGTTGGGCGTCAAGCGCCTTCGGTCAGCAAAAAAGGCAGAGAATCTTCGGCGAAGCATAGTCCGTGTCAAGTGGAAATCGAACATCGGCGCTACTCGGTTGAACACTCGCTGCAAGCCGTATATAGCGCTCCCTAAGCTATAATTAGTTCGAAGAAGTGGAAGTCTCAGCATAAGACTGTTGCGTAGTGATCGAGGTTGAACATTAATGTTCACTTCCTTGCAGAGTATCGGCGACGGTTAAGGCTCTGAAAACATCTCTTCGGATACGTAAGGGCTCGAGGCATTGATCAATTGGCAGCGATTCTCGTAGCTTGGAAGACGAAGTGGGTATCTCAAAGGCAGCTTACGGAGCGCGAAGCGAAGAAAACGTCGTTGCACAGATTCAATTCGCTCGGCCCCATTATTTTAGTTAGGGCTCCAGACTGCAGAGCAGTATTCCAACGCAGATCGTACGAGGGAGCAATTGAGTGATTTCAAGCAGTAAATGTCTGTGAAGTTCTTAGTAATCTTGAAGACAAAGCCAAGAGTTCTGGACGCTATGGTGTGAGTATGTCAGCTTTGAGTCTAGAAAAAACCCCAAAGTCTTTCACGCAATGCACCCGTTCGATAGTCGTGCCTAGTAGTTTGTAGTTGAAAATAATCGATGGTTTCTTGCGTGAGAAAGTAATAACTGTCACTAGTAAGATAAATTTTTGTCCAAAGCAATTTTAAACAGATGTTACAATGGATTCTAGAGATATGTGATACCAAGGTACTTCGAACAAAAAGTCCTAGGGAGTTTTGGGATGAACTCTAAGAGGGTTATGACTAGATCTCCAAGTCAATTGTGTGAGATCAGATTGTAGCTCTGTGAAAAATTCCTTGAGTCAAATTTAAAAGGATTTGTGCGATAAGTTTTAAATTTGGATTCTTTTCAATGCCAACAAAATTTAAATCTTGGATCATTTTCGTCAATGACCAAGAACTTTTCTTTTGTTTTGAGTAATAACATCATAAAAATTCTTTCAGTTCCGGAAGCAGGAATTGTTTGTTCGTGGTCTAGATTGATTTGTCATAAAATTTTGATATATTTTTCAGGTTCCTTTAAAAGTGCTACAAGTTCAATATTTCCATGTTTTCCTTATATTCCAGGATTCACAATTTGGATCTTGACAAATTTTGGTTGTCTAGAAACTTGTTTTCAAAAAAAAAAAAAAAAAAAAAAAAATCACAGCTTTTGAACTCTTTTTTTTTTTTAATTCTGGTCTTAAAAAAAAAGTTATGCTCGTAGAAAGTTTCATGAATATGGATCGAAGGTGTACATTTCTGAAGACCCAAAACCAAGATTAAGAAACTTGAAATTTGATGAGAATGTTCAAGGGGCTCATTCCGATAGAGTTCTGAGAGGAACTGTTACGTGAAAATTGTTCTCGAGGTGGTTCAGAGGAACTACTGATTCCAGGTCAATCTTTAGAAAAAAAATACCAAGATAGATCGTAGTAGAATTCCAAGGTAACCCTGGATAGGATTCAAAAGAAATTGTAATTAAATTCATAACAGTTTTTGACGTTAATTTTTAAGGAATTTTGAGAAAATTTGAACAATAAGAAGGATTAGACCATGATAACTCTAAGGTGAACTTCAAGATAATATCAATGAGAAATCTAAGGACATTCTAAAGATAATTTCAAGGAGATGCTGAGAGAATCGAATCCGGGGCATATTTCCATGTGAGTTTTCGGAGAATTCATAGAAGGATCTTACAAATTTTGAGGAAAATTCTAAGGAAATTCGTTAGTTGAGTGAGTTGCAGCATTCTAAGATTATTGGGAAAATTTATTCAATGCAAATTTTGAGAATAATTCCAAACGATTTCTTAGGAATTTTCCTAGATAATTCTGGGGAATATTTTAAGGGGATCTTGAGAAGTATTCAATGGTTATTCTGGTGGTAATTGTTTAGATAATTCCATTTCCCAGCAGAACTAACAAAATATTCCAAAGATAATTCCATGGGAATTTCAAGAGAATATTAAGTGAATGCTGAGGAGAACTCCAAATGAATTTTCAGGAGAATTCTTTGGGGAATTCCTATGGAATAACAGCAAGAATTATTAATAATTTGCTGAGCATTGCAGAGTGAATTCAAATGGCGTTCCAAGAGATTCAAATATTGATAGTTTTTCGAGATCCTGGACACAGAAAAATAAAATAAGATCCGGGAATTAGAAATTAATTAAATTTCTGAGCTTTTGATTTTTTTAAAGTTCATCTTCTTCTTCTTCTTCTTCTTCGCATTTCAAGCTTATTGCATGTCGCCTGTTAGCTTATTGCGTGCTCTCAACTTAGTGTTCTAGATGCACTTCCACAGTTATTAATTGAGAGCTTTTCGATGCCTGTACCATTTTTGCATTGGTATAATTGTGTGGCAAGTCCAATCATACTTCTATGCCCAGGGAAGTCGAGAAATTTTTCAACCCGAAAAATTCCTAGACCGGACCGGGAATTGAACCCAGCCACCTCCAGCATGGTCTTGCTTTGTAGCTGCGCCTTTACCGACTGAGCTAAGGGAGGCCCCTTTTTAAAGTTCATGCTACCATCAACAAGTTTTCTTTTAAATTCAGTTTTCAGGGCAGCCAAAACTTATTCCAAATATTCCAAATTCTGAACAACCATTTTTTTTTTATCTTAGTCACTTTAACACTCTTGGGTCAATCGTTACTTGTCCGGCGTGAGATTTGAGCTATTGATTTTGGCGTGAGAGGTAAAGGGTGATACGGTCAAAATTTTGTCAAGGGAAAACGCGTGTAAATCGGTGAAATCGTTTATTTAAAAAATCAAATTAAATTTCTTTTTCAAGTTCAATTAGTATAAAATTCAGGAAAAATATTCAGTTAGGCTTCCGCTTTTCCAAATCCGAATTGCCGGGCCTTACGCTTGACCCCTGCCATCAGATTTTGTACAGCCACCTTGTCCACCTTCTTCGCCGCAGAAAGCCAGTTTGCCTTGAACTGCTGCTCGCCCTTAGCAGTTTTTTTGGTCTTCTTTAGGTTCCGCTTGACAATAGCCCAGTATTTCTCAATTGGGCGGAGCTCTGGCGTGTTGGGAGGGTTCTTGTCCTTGGGAACCACCTGCACGTTGTTGGCGGCGTACCACTCCATGGCCTTTTTACCGTAATGGCAAGATGCCAAATCCGGCCAAAACAGTACGGAACAACCGTGTTTCTTCAGGAAAGGCAGCAGACGTTTATTCAAACACTCTTTCACGTAAATTTCTTGGTTGACAGTCCCGGAAGCTATGAAAATGCTGCTTTTCAAGCCACAGGTACAGATGGCTTGCCAAGCCAGATATTTCTTTGCGAACTTTGACAGTTTCATGTGCTTGAAAACATCTGCTACCTTTCCCCTTCCTTTTGCCGTATAAAACTCCTGTCCCGGAAGCTGCTTGTAGTCGGCTTTGACGTAGGTTTCGTCGTCCATTACCACGCAGTCAAACTTCGTCAGCATCGTCGTGTACACCCAGCTTATTTGCGGCATCTCGGAGAGAGAGGTTAGGGTTTCGCTTGAAACTACCGGCAACTCTCTTTGTCGTCTCAGCAGCTTCCGGTTTTCGATTTACCCCCGATCCAGACTTCCTGGCAGTCGACAAAC